TGCCTCTCCCTCAGGAAAAAGGTGTCTGGGAGGCTGGGCAGGAGCAGAAGCAGCAGGAGTGTGGATGAGCCCTTCGGGGAAACCAAGAGCAGAGGGAGCTATGGATGCCTGTGTTTCCCTTGCAGGGAGCCGGAGCAGGGCCTGGCAGGCAGGAAGGGAAGGTGGCCTCCAAGATGCGGTGGGGTCATCAGGAGTGTCAGCCACTCTGTCCCTGGTGAGAAAGATGAGCAAATGCCTGGCACCTGGAAAGGGATGGCAGTTGAGGGGTCTCAGATTCAAGGCGCAGGGAGCCAGATAAGGAACTGCCCAGAAGAGGGCAGGAGGGCAGGGGCAGGAGAGGCCCCTCCATGGGGTTCTGTCTCGGCTGCAAACCCCTGATGGCTTCTGAGCACTGCCAGCTGGTTTCAGCCTAGGACCCAAGAGGTGCAGTCGGGTGTAGGCTTTGGTGAGCTCTGCGGGCTCCTCTCCGAGTAGGAGGCAGCAGGGAGTGTGGGGCCGGCTCCTGAGGAAGAGCTCCCCCAGGCTGGCTGGGCTTAGCCCACTGCCCCGGGACGTCAGCCCGGCGTGGGGGCAGAGGAGAGGGTCAGGGAGGGAGGGTGAACTTTTCCCACCTAATTGGCTCTCAGGAGACCAAGGTGGAGAGGGCTTGACTCTGGCTGACCCACACTCTCCCGTGGGGAGACTATAATGGAGGGCAGCAAGGAAGCTGTCTGTGTGTGTGTGTGTGTGTGTGTGTGCACAAATGTGTGTGCCTGTGCACGTGTGGGGTGAGTGTGCATGTGTGCCTGCATGTATGTGTGTGCATTGTGGAGCATGTGGGAGCGGTGAATGTGTGTGTCACTCACGTGTGTGTGTGTGCATCGAGAACCCTGTGTGCACATATGTGCCTGCACGTTTGTGAATCAGTGCTGTGTAGGGGGTGCTGTGAATGGTGAATGTGGTGTGCAGGTGTGTGTGTGTGAGCATGTGCAGGTATGTTTGGTGGGACTGGGCTGAGAGACGCTGTCTCTGCAAGGAGCCCCTGTTCTGGGCGAAGGCCCATCTGTCAAGGGCAGGCCTTTGGGTCTAAGCCCGTTTTCCCCCAGGTGCTCATTGAGCTGCTTTCCGGCACTCCCTCAGACGCCTGGACCAGGATTTCATGCAGCGGCACTGCTGGTGCTAACCAAGCTCTCGGGGGATGTTCATGCTTGCTACCGTGAAGGGAGCATCAAGTGAGTGGCCACACTTTTTTTGCGAACCTTGCCCGTGAGCCCCACCCCAGCTCACGTGCACACTCCCATGAGAGCGTTCTCAGTCTGAGACAGGCATGGTCACTCATTCGAGGGGCCCAGTGGAGACCGTGAGGTGACATGCAGGAGTGGGGCCCAGATGTGCTGTGTCCTAGGTCAGCTGCAGGGCCTCTCTGACCCCAGGATGAGGGATGTGGAGCCAGATGTGGGAAAAGACCAGTTGTCCGGGCGTGGCCACTTACGCAACTGTGGGGTCCCTTCTCCAAGATGATTGCCAGAGGATGCAGGACCAACTTCAACCAGACACGCTACTCATCTGGAAACTCTCACAGGAGCGGGGCTGGAGCCCTAACCAGACCAGTGAGGTTGGTCTTGGGGCTGTGGTTCTCAGCCTCTGAGAGGTGGTCCTTGTGGGCTGGAATCTCTGACCCCCACCAGCTGGGTTCCTACCCCATCATTCAGGGAGCAGCCCTGCTTGCCTAAATGGGATGGTCGCCGAGACCATAAGTACCTGGCCAGCATCTGCGGTGACACAAGGCAGGTTCAGGAAGAGCTAAGGCTACCTAAATGCTAGGCTCTTCAAGAGGTGTTGAACCCCAGTGAACTGGGAAGCACAGCTGCTATAGTGAGGGCTGGGGAGGAGATGCAAGATCCCGCCTTAGCTGAGGCCATGAAACCCCTTATCTCCACGTCAGAAGAAAGCACAGAGTTGTCCATTACCAGTAAATTTTTAAAATATAAAGGGCAGAAATATTTGGGGGCTTAAAGCAGATGAGTTTCTAAGCAAGAGGAGAATCCCATGGATAGATAAGTTCTCAGGTTCACCCTCAGCTTTATGAAGCCAGTTGTCAGCTGCTCTGGATATCCGCCCGAGGCGGAACATCACAGGGCACACAGTGCAATCAGCTGAGCACAAGCACCCCGCCGAATTTACTTTCGTAAGTCTTCATGATTGTGCAGTGCAGTCATTCAGTGAAGGGTTGGCCACTTTAGCCAAGTTACTCATTCACAGACCTCAACTGACATGAGGAAAGAAATGAATGACACTGTGGAACACAACCTGGACTTGAGAGTCTGAAATAGCTCAGCATAAGTCCTGACCTTGTCCCTAACCAGCTGCGCAAGCTTGGGAGTGAATGCATCTCTTCTGTGCCTCGGTTTCTTCATCTGTGAGGTGGTTGTGATGACGCCTGCCTGGCTACTTGAAGGAGATATGAGGAAGGCGACAATGGATGTTTTCTATGAAGAAACCAGAGTGCTCCCTGAGGCACTGTAGATAGATGTCCAACTCAGAGCAGTTCTAGCCAGAATGCCGGAGTTTCCAAACACCTGGCTGCCATTGTTCCGGGGTTATCCACCCATTTCGGAGGGGTTAAAACTGAGGTGCTATCGCTGTCACTTGAGCCGGTGGCCTGCTGAATGCAGTGCCCAGGACATCCTGTGTCTCCACATCCAAACCGAGCTCACGGACCGCTTGTCCTCTGTGGCGGCCCTTCCGGCTGAAATGCCATTTCTTCTCTCTAGTGGACCAGTGGTCCTTCAGTGTGTCATCTCCACAGATGATCGATACCAACAGATTGCCAGAAACTAACTCAATATCCAGCAACACCCTGCACGCCAAGTACCTGTAAAAGCATATCCACATGTGCACGTATCACTTTGAGTCTTTGTTGTAAAAACCCTAAAGCATCACCTCTGTAGCTGTTTAAAAACATGTCCAGTTTTATTAAGACCAACTCTTCCATCTGTAGCGTGGTCACTGCAGACAGCTCACAGCCAATTTGCTCTAGGTGGATGCTTTCAAACAACCAGGAACCAATCCCTACTCTTGCGGCACAGACTTCCTTTTACATGAACCTGGATGTGAGAATCATCAGTCCAACAGGGAAGCGGGGAGGACCATTCAGAGAGACTCTGCCTGTCCAGGAGCTCCCTACCCAGACTGGACCCAGTCCAGGGCCTGCTAGGGAACACTGCAGATGCAGACACAGGGCATTTTTTAAATCTCAAAAATTATACATAGAATTTTTTCAATGACAAAGGACACATGCAAATCATTTTTTTTTAATCATAAAGCTGCAACCTCAGTAGAAAAATGGGTAAAACATACACTTAGAATTTATCTGCAAATGTTTTTTCAAACCCCAGGAAAAACTTAAATTTCACTGGTAGTCAAATATATCTAATATAGTACATTAAAACGAAGGGCTGTTTTTGCCCGTAAAATTTGCAAATAACTTCTCATTTTTAATGACAATACCAAACACCAAAAGGCACATGGTGAGCCACGTGATTATAACTTACCACTAAATTTTAGGGAAAAATTGGTCTATGTATATGAAAAACATCAAGAATATTGATCTTTTGGGACCCAATAATTTCATGCTTCTTGGGAATCTATCCCAAAGAAATAACCAGAAGTTCAGGGAAAAGGGTACAAGAACAAAATAACAGAAATGTAAATAGCAGAAGGGAAATGGTGAATTAAAGTTTTTAAATTCTCAAAATGGAAACTTCTTCTGGTATTAAAAGATAGGTTTATAACCTGGCACAGAAGAACATGCCTGTAATCCTAGCTACTTGGGAGGCTGAGGCAGTAGGATCACAAGTTCAAGACCTGCCTGGGCAACTCAGCAGGACCCTGTCTCAAAATAAAACATAAAAAGGACTGGGGATATAGCTCAGTGTGATGGCCCTGAGTTCAATCAAGTAAGTAGGTTTATGAAGCTTTTGAGATAAATGGGAGATATTCTTATATAGTTAAGCTTTTTTACAAAGCAGTATATAAACGTTATATAAAGAATAACCCAACTACAGAATGCTTAGGAAACTGTGAGGAGGAAATACGACAACCGGCTAACAGAAGCTGTCTCTGATGGGTGAGATTGTGTGTGACTATTTCCCTTTCTTCTTGCTTTATGTATTTGTTTATTTTGCATTTTCCCACTACAAAGAATTTATTTATGAATTAAGGAAAAACACTTGGAGTTTGGGGCTGACAACAAACATCATCTAATGACCCTTAGTTTATCTGCTCTCCCCAAGTATCTTTACTTGCAGTCTCCAAATATACTCAAGATGAGCAAAAAGCCCCTCAAAGTCACCAAGGTGAGTCCAAGACAAGAGAAATGGAGGGTAGCAGTGGATCGGTAGGGAAAAGGACAAGAGCAGCACCCGCTCACAAAGAGCTGACCCACAGCCCCCCCTGGGATGGCCACACTCTGGGCTCGCAGGAGAAGAGGAGCGAGGACCGCTGACCTCCCTCGGCCCAGCAGGCCGGCTTCTGTGACCCAGATCGCCTGTGTCGGGCGGCCTGGGCTCTCCTGGCCTCAGGCTTCAGTCCCCAGGGATGGTACGGTAGGGGCCAGGCTCTGGCAAGTCCTCCACGTTTGTCTTCTTTTCCAATAGTGCCCAGCAGCATGAGCTTGCTCAGGTTTGTAGACAAAATATTGAAAACAGTTCCCGCTGCTGGCCGTGGTCTTCCTGCTTAATGTCTAGAAATCTAAGTCACCCTGGCCGAAGCCATCTGCCCAGTTGCAGGCGTAGCCTCTGGCTGCCTTCTGGTCTTGTCCACCGTCACAGCAGCTTTCTCCTGCCGCCGGCTCTGGTGTCCCTGGGTCCGAAGGGGGCCCTCCCTCCTCAGAGGCCCGGCTGACTGGATACGTGGTGGCTGCCTTCTCCTCTGCCTGCAGGGCTTCTGGGATGCCAAGCTGTCTACCTGGCTGGTCCTCCCAGCCCTTCATGAGAGACCAGGGAGCCACTACCCAGGGACGTCTGGGGCCCAGCCTTTGGTGGGGGTATCCTCAGCCAGGTCCAGGGGTGTCATAGGCCTCCCCTCCTGGTCTAGGCTGCTGTTTCCAGAAGCCTCCCCTCTCCGGCCCTGTCCTACGCTAGCTCCAGCGCCTCCTTCTTTCTCACCGTTATGTCCTCCTTCAGACTGTGGCTGTCCTGTGACTTCAGCGCCATCACCCAGTCATCCTGTGGCCTCTGGAGTGTCCCCATCCCTGGAGCCATCACAGTGGCTCCTTCCTGCTCAGCTTCACCTTTCTCTGGGCACTGGGCCTCCTCCCAGGTGTGGTGGATGCTGGCATGGGCTCTCCCTCCTCTCTCCCACACCATGGCTTCTTCCTTCCTCTCCAGGTCACCTGCTCCCTCTGCCTCCCTGACTTCGGGGTCACTGCTTTGCCTCTGGCTCCCCTGGCCCAGGCCCAAGCCTAGCTCCTGCCCACCGTCGGCTCTCTGAGGAGTGGGGTCCTCCTGAGGCTGCTGTTCTCTCGGGGGCTCCCCCTGCTGCCTCTCCTCTCTTCTGCTGCAGAATTTGCTGTAGGTCAAAGGCTTCTTTGATGGGCGCACTGGCAGGCATTACAGTGTCTTTCTGGGACCTCAGAGTCACCTTCCTCACACAGGTCTCACAGGGACAGAACCAGCTCCCTTCTGCACCCCCACCTAACCCGGTTCCCAGGGCCACGCTGAGGTTGGGCCTGGACTTCGGGAAGGCTGAGAGGCGGCGCCGGTGCTGCTACGTCTGCAGGGACTCCTGCCCCCGGAGGACCATCCTCCCAGCCCGGCTCTGGATCTTCCGGAGCTCCCTGTCGTTGCAGTCTCGGAGCCGCTGGCCCACATCCTGCTGCAGCTCTGCCACCATCTGGTCCAGCAGATGGTCGTCCTGCAGTCTCCGGCGGGCTAGGAGCTCAGCCATGGCATCTGCCAGGTGGGCCATGAAGGCTTCCTCTGTCTTCTTCAGCAGCCTGGACACCCAGAGGGGGTCCAGGTCCAGAGACGTGGCACGAGCCCCGGTTTCTGGGGTGGAATGGGCCCAGGCTTGTTCCCGACCCAGCACAGCTGCCCTGGGCGGTGCCCCCAGACCAGGCCCTGGCTGGGGGCTGTGACTCTCAATGGCCTGCAAGTCTCCTGTGCTGAGATGACCAGCAGGCTCCGCCGGTCTCTCTCTTCTTCCTGGCAGGCCCAGCGCTGCAGAGGCAGTGTCCCTCCGCATGCCTTCCTCCTGCCCGCTGCCTCTGGCCTTTTCTGGCCCCTCCTCTGGGACACCTTCAGCCTGGGGTCCTTCTCTTTCTGCTGTTTCCTCTGCCTGCCCCCTCTCCCCGAGTAGAGTTTTCAGTGAACGGCTCCGGGTTATCCTCTAGTCGCTCCAGACCATGGCCCAGTGTCTGCTCCTGGCTGCTGCTCCCGGCTTCCTCCTGCCCAGAGGACCCTGTCAAGGCCATGGAACAGCTCTGCTGGGTGTTTGCCCTGTGCTCTGGGTGCCTCGAGCTTCTGGAATTGGACCTCTGGGAGCAGACCGGCAGGGGCCACTCCATCTGCTCGGGGACCAGGGTGGCATCCTCGGCACAGGGCCCACTGCCATCCCCCGAGCCCCCAGAGCCGCTGCTGAGGGCCACGTTGGAGGAGGAGATGGACGTGAGGTCCCTGGTGGTTGGCAGGGCCTGGCACGAGTCCAGTGTGCCTTGCCCGGGATCACACGCAGTCCACAAGCCCTGGGCGAGGCCCCAACAGCTCCTGGTACTGCGGGGAGTCTTCAGACTTCCCTCTGTCTGCTGCAGAGCTGAGATTACCCTCGAAGAAGCACAGCCGGGCAAGGCAGGTGATGAGTGCCTCAGTCGACCTGCTGAGCCGCTGGGCCACTGGGCCCGACACTCTGGGCAGGTTCCTGGGCCGGCCCTGCTTGGAGCCCATGAGCGTCTTCATGATCTGTGTGGAGACCGAGAGCCTTCTGGGAAGAACACACAGTGTCGCTCCTGCTCCGGCCTCTGCTGCAGTCTCAGGCCCTTCACCCAGACCTGTGCCTTGATGGGGACCATCTCCCGACTCGGGGTCCACGTCAGCGGATCCTGGGAGGGCTTGGTCCAGCTCTGGGTGCTCACCAGGGTCCCCTTCTGGGAGCTGCTATCTGGGACCGGTGTCCTGCTTGGCGCCTCCCAGGCTGTCATGGGCCGCGGGCATGGATGGGTCCACCATCGCGTATCTCAGCAGCACCGGCTCCTCTGGGATGTCGTCAAACCATTCTTGGACCACCGCATCCGGAGAGGTGTGGGGCAGAGTGCTGGGCCCCATGCTGCTGTCTTCCCCAGCACTGGGGCTGGGGTTCCTTCCGGCTCCCCTGACTGCCCTTCCCAGGCCCCCTGGTTTAGGCCCCAGCTTGAGTATTTCTTTCCCTGGCTCACTGGCTCCTGGGCCTTCATCATCAGCCCTTCAGTGATCACTGCTGCTGCTGCTGCTGCTGCTGCTGCTGTTGGAAGGGACCCTCTCTGTGCAGGGCTGCCCAGCCGGGAAAGTGGGGCAGTAGCCACTGCAGGCCCAACAGCCCTCGGTGTGACCACTGGGGGTCCCCGGGACAGGGCACGTCCTCATCTGCGAATTGCAGCAGAGATGAGCTCCCAGCTCCTCTCCCTCAAGCCATCCAACCGGCAGAACCAAGGGCAAGGAGTGCCTGGGAGTGCTGCCTGTCTTGTCCCCAGTGCCACCAGTCTCTCTGGCACAGTCAGGCGTGGGCACTGAGGAGCGTGCCCTGCCCTCAATGCCCTTCGCCTGCTCTGCAGAGCAGGCCCTGGGGTGACAGGAACCAGAAGCCCAGCCTGACCTCCTCACAGGGGTGATGGCAGACCCGCTGGCTGCTTCAGGGCCCCATGGGTCAGGGGAGCCGGGGTAGGGTGGGCTCGGGCTCCCCAAGGCTGGTCTGCTCGTGCTGGGTGATTCAGGAGGTCGTGGCACTGGGCTCCTTGGGCAGGGGTTTCCTCTGCTGGGAGGGCTCGGTGCTGCTGGGGCTCCAGGGGAATCTACAGGGCAGTAGGGACCCAACCCAGCACGGCCTCTCTGGGCCACCTGACAGGGGTCAGGAATGCTAGGTGAGGATACAGCGCTCCCTGGGCTCTGCTGCCTTCTCCCTGCCAGGCTGGGACACAGGACGGAAGTGAAGGGAGAGTCCCTCACGTCCCCGGGACCCAACTGCTCCAGACCCGAGGGCAGCGTCATCACGGGCCCTTCCATGGCCTCATGGCAGCCAGTGCCTTGTCTGTGCTCCCCTGTCTCTAAGTCCCCGTTGTTGTGAGGTAAGGGACAGGGGCTGTCACCATAGGTGTCCTCCTCCTGGGAGGCCCCAGGCAGCCCCACGGCTGGCCTCCCCACTCTGCAGACTGCTCACGAGACTTGGTCCTGGCCGAAGAGTCAGAAAGGACCCCTGCCACACCTCGGGCCCTGGGTCCCTGACGGCCGGGCCTCTGCACTCCCTCTGGATACTGGGCCTTCCCAGCTTCCTGCTTGGCCCTGCTCAGGGAAGCAGCCTCAGAGGCGCGACATGAGCTGTCACTGCCCTCTGGGGTCTTGGGCTGCAGGAGTCTGGATCAGAGCCCTTGAAGCGCTCGGCACTGGAGGCCAGGCTGTGGCAATCCTTGCCAGGTCTCTTCCTGCCCTGGGCCCAGCCTGACCTCGTCCAATGCGCCGGCCTCTCACCCCTGGGGTTACACAGGGGGTTTCTCCAGACGCTGGGCCGGGGCTGCTGGCCTTCATCAAAGGCTCACTGGCACCCTGCCTGGCAGAGACCTGCTGGCCCGGCCACAGGCTCCAGGCTGTCCCCAGGGTGGCTCTTGCATCTGCAGCACTCGGGGTCCACCCCCTATAGCCTGAACCCTCCCCGCCAGCCCGCCCCACCCTCTGGAACCAGAGCGCAGTGTCCTCGCCCAGGAGGCGGAGGCGGACTCTCATCTCCGCAGACAGGCTGCCGTCCCTGTTCACGCAGACCTTCTTCTCCACGTCGTCAGCGGTCAGCAAGGGGCCGGGAGGTGGAGGCCCCAGCCAGGCACCAGGCAGGGATGCAGTGCGCTTGCTGAGCCCAGGCCAGGCAGACGGCAAGGACTGCGGTGGCCTGCTCCCCAACCTGGACCTGGAGTGGATCACGCTCAGCCTGGCCTTGGGCCCCCAGGAACCTGGCGCATGGTGAGGGGCAAGAGAAGAGGGAGAGACAGTGAGCTGCTGCAGAGCACCAGGGTGGAGAAGACAGCCACCGGGAACCTCCACCACTCCCACATCCCACGTCCCGTCCCAGCGGCTCAAGGGTGCAGACTGGCCTAAAGCTGTCCCCAGAGCTGGGTAGGGTTAGGCAGAGCTGGCTCCTTGATAGTAGAAGTGCACTATCAATCAGTTTAGCGGGTTTTCTTTGCTTTGCTTTTTTATCCATTCAGTAATGGGGATTGAATTCAGTGCCTTTGCACTAAGCTACATTCCCAGCTCTTTTTATTTTTTTATTTTGAGACAAGGTCTCAGTGAGTTTAAGATGCCCAAGATGTACTCAAACTCTTGATTCTCCTGCCTCAGCCTCCCTAGAGTGCTGGGACTGCACACTCGGCTAGGGTTGCTTTTGCCCGTGCGCTGGCATACAGATAAAGTACATGCCTCGGTGGGGGGAAAGACTGCTGCACAGACAGGGAGCCGCTCCAAGCCACAGCTCACAGGGTTAGGTGCCGGGCTCCCCTACCTGCAGCACAGGAAGCTGACTCTGTACAGTGCCACCTACAGGCCTGACTCCGCTGCTTCCCCAGGAGCTGCTAACGGACCTCCAGGAAAGGCCTGAACACACAAAATCAAGTCCTGAGAGTCCTGCCCGCATCCCAGACAGAAGAAAGAGAAGATGGGATCTCTGGGGAGAGAGGAACGTGGGCCTAGGACACTGGATCCCCAGGTGCTTTCTCATTTCATCTCTGGAACTAGACTGAGCCACGATTCATGCAGGCTGTGACCACCCCGTACACAGCCCTCTGCGCTTCTTAAATAGAAGTGATTTTAGACCCTAGACATTTTGAGCTCAAGATCCTTAATTCCGGTGCCTTTAAGCACCATGCTCTGCTCTCTCATATCCCCATCAAATGTTCGCCCGAATTAAGGTTGATGGTGGTGAAGAGGAGGCACGAGAGACCCCAGAATGGCTGGATGCCTTTCCTGAATTGTGTGGGACGCTTGTCCGCCCTGCACAACCACCCCCACCCCACGCATCTCGCATGGGGAAACCATGTACCGTGTGGAGTACAGACAAGTAAGTACAAAGCGACTCGCCGTGCTTGGTGCTTGAAGTCAGGGCAGATAAAGCTTCAGTCCCGCTTTTCTGGGCTCTCTCCACTGCCAGGGGTCTGAAGGCCTCGCTCCCAGCGCACACCAGCACGCAGGAGCTGCGCAGCAGTGCCTGCAGAGGGTCCACCTGGAGGCGACAGGTGCAGCCAGGAGCCTGGGACGCAGCCCAGTCTCTCCAGCCTTTCCTGACTTCTGCCCGTCTCTCCCCACGACGCCTCCACCCCTGGCTGGACACCTCTCCCACGACCTCTCCAGGTGTGAGCCTGTGCCGCTGCTCACTTTGGATGGAAAAGAGGTCGGAGCCCTCAGGCTGCCCCAGTGCCCACACGTCCACCCTGCAGAGTGAATTCTTCCCGATGCAGCCACACTGCCAGCCCCGGCCCCATGAGGAGACTGATCCACTGCACCAGGCTTCTCTCCTTTCTGACCAGGCTTTCACGACTACAGAATGCAGAGCGCAAGGGGCCACTCTTTCTCCCTTCCTGTCTTCTATGGTGGGGTCCAGGTCCTGCCACCTACTTGCCCCAGACTCAATAGCAAGACACATCCCTGTCCAAGCCTGAATCAGACCCCAGCTTTTAGGAAAACCCTCACGCAGCCCATGTGAAGGTCTGCACCGTGGCTACAAAGCACCAATCACCCTGTGGTGAGCAGGGCTGGGAGATTTGTCCCTATCTCCAAACTGCAGAGTTCGTTCTTTTTCAGTAACAAGGAAGTGAAAGGGAGAACTCTTTCATCTTGTCTCCCCCAAAATACATTTGTTGTACTCCCAGACCTTTCAGCCCAGTTAATTAGAAGTGCGTTTTCAACTTCTAGGTACATTTCTTCCTGACTCAGATTTGTAATTCACCTCAGAAATAAGAACATAACCTGAGTCTATCAATGGACAGAGGTACCCCCGCTTCCAGGGAATCAGACTCCCCAGGGAGAAGAGACAGCTGGGGTCTGAAGGGCACATCCCTCCCTAGGACACGAGACCTTTGGAGAAAAAGACCATCATCAAAGCCATCCAGCAGAGGACCCAAAATTCGACGGTCATGACACAGCTCTGCCCTGTGGTGGGGAGCCATAGGCCATTTCACAGAAGCTCCAAAAGCTCTGAGTCAGTCTAGGTGAAAATGTCCTAAGATCTTTTGACCCTGTCAACTTGTTCTGTGAGTGCTTCCCCCTCGCCAGGCCTACTACACTGTCAGCTAACCGGAGACAGGGGCTGGGCCTTGCTTGCCTGCACACTGCACGCGGTAGGTGCTAGCACATGGCAAACGCTCTGTGGTTCACGAGCACTTCTGCCTTCCTGGCGCTGGCTGCATCATGTGCTAACTCCGCAAATATGGGGAAATTGCTTCCTATGCGAATATGTGCCTCACTCTTATCTGTGCAGAGGGAGTAATAACAACAACTGCCCTCAGAGCACGGGTGGCGGATGCTCAAAGTCTAGACTGGTCTACTTTCCAGTAACGCACAGCGTACAATGCTGAAAATCCATTTCCCCATTGCCCTTGCAGCTAAGGGTCTCGATAGGAAATAGGCCTCACTATTGGGATGCACTTGCTTACGATGGGGACACGGCAGTGAGGCAAAGGCCATTTTCCTTTTGCTTTTTCACTGTTGCCACAAGTAGAAAAAAGTCAAATGTGCAGAGAAGCTTGTGCAGCTGAGCTGACAAAAGCCACACTCCTTGTTGTCAGCTTCCAGATGCCAACAGACAGCTGTGTACATCAGCCTCCCCACGCCAGGCCATGGCTGCTGTCATGCCAGTGGCAACCACCCAAAGAGCCGTTTTCTTGACTGTGTCAGAGGCGCTGCTGTGATGGGTTACTTCTGGGAGTCTCCCCCGGGAACCCAGCCTAGGCTCCCCCAGCCTTGCAGCAAATCTTGAAGCATCAAAAGCTTCCTGTGCAGAATTCCTTTCTGTACAACCTACTGAGAGCTGCACAGGAGCTGCACTACAACAGACACGGTGTGCAGAGTCAGAGGTGACTGCAGGCAGTGGACCTTCAGGGTGCGAGTCTGGGACTGCGCTGGGTTTCCAGGTAGTGATAAACTCTGACAATGGGACACAGGTAGGCCATGGCACACAGTGGCAAAGTAGCTTCTTCAGTGGTCACCTCTGATGGACTGTGGGTCCCACTGGCAGCCACGACGGATCGTGATAATGTGAACGAGAGCGGCAAGGACTAAGTGTTGGGCTGGCTGCTTCTAACCTTAAAAGTGGAGGGTGCGATGTCTCGATTCTCCATTCAGGGACAGCCAGGGGACCTGGAGCTTCCACAACTACTGCCAAAGGGTCTCTTTTCTCGTCTTGCTAATACTCAGGTGCAGAAACCGATTTGGCTGGTGCCGGATTACAGCTGAACAGGGTGTTATCTGGTCCGTGAAGCCATAACACAGGTGTGGTGAGCACTCGGTTGCCAGGTGGGGGTGACACACACTGGGTCGGGCTCATGAAGTGTGGACTGAACCTTAAGTAAGTTGTCAAGCAGGTGGCACAGCACCTGTTCCCAGCTCACCTGCACCTGCCATGTGGCTGCCTCTCCTTAGCACACACATGTGGCTTCTTGGGGAATTCCCTGGATCAGTTGAACAAAGAACACGTTTGTCTCTGGGTCATAGAGGGCCTGATCCAAATTTGGGCATGGCAGCATTAAGGACCCACTGAGGAGCCATGAGGGTGGCAGGGAAAGAAAGTCCAGGGAACAGTGTGATTGGGTTGCCTGTTTTTATGGAGGTCCTGTAGCTATTGATGGGCAGTGGGTAATGGTTCAGTCTGACACTTAGGGACGTGGAAGAGCCAGATCCCTGATGACAAGAACATCGGGAGAAGAATCTGTGAAAGGATCCCACCTGCTGAGAGGTCCACATGACAAGAACCTTTTGGTCCTGTGTGAGCGCTCACCCGAATGGGACAGTTTCCCCCGATGTGGACAAGTTGACCAGCCCGGCGACGTCCGTCGTGCTCCCGCCCGGCCGCCCCGGGGCAGGCTCAGTCAGCACTCAGGGTGGCAATGCTGCACGAACCCACAGCGTCAGCTCTGCCTCATTCCCGTGGACAAGCCCATTGGGTCCTCTCAGGGCCTGATCTGCCAACAGCCGAGACTAATGCTAAACTTGAGACTTGCGTCACACCTGAGGGACTCAGCCAGCCACTTGGTGGGGAGCTCATGACCCTGAACCCTGTATCAAGGAGACAGTCGGCAACTTGAGCTCACTGAGGTGGGCGCTTACTTTGGATGGGAGACTGCGCCTTGTCCATCATTCATCGTGTGTCACCACCCAAGCACTTACCAAACACCAGTTCATCATTGCCACATCCCGTGAAGCTCGCCTCTGTCCAGAGAACTGATTTTATAGCAGAAGATGTGAGACAGCTGGCTGATGCCCACAGAATTCACTTTGTAGCCATGTCCCTCATTACACCCAAACAGCCATAAGTCAGACAACAGTGGGATATTTCCAGGAGGGACCGCTGGGAGGCATCGCTCTGACGTTGAGCTGTCTGCCCACAGGATATGATAAGTGCTTCCGGCGGGCAACCGATGTCCAGCATTGTGTCTCCAGGGGCCACGTGCTGGAAGGGAAGGCCCCGAAATAGAGTGGCTCCTCTCGCTGTGCCCCTAGGACCTAGTTGTGGGCATCTTGCTTCCCATCCTGCAGTTGTGGGCTCTGCCGGTTGGGAGGCCTCAGGGCCCACAGGAGAATGTCCCCAGAGGCATTCGCTTGGTCACACAGAGTTCCTCATGCCACGAACACACAGGCAATAAGAGGGCCCTTGGGAAGTGGAGCTGCTGTTTCGCAGGGAACCTGTGGGGGACCCCTGCAGGTGCCAGGCACAGTGATGTGCTCACTTCCACAGAGGCTCGGCCCTCTCGGGTTATGGCTTCACCATTCCACTCGTGCATAGCCACAGGCAGCCAAGGCACTGGTGGAAAGCAGAAGGAACCCGGGGTGGGTAGCAGAAGGGAATCTCAAACCTCAGCAGCGGCCCTCGGGAGGCTTACCTAATGGTCTCCTCAGCTCTGCCAGGTATTTACCATTTTAACCAATTTCCTCCGATTTCGTATTTTTTGCTCTTGATTTCCTGCATAACTTTATGTAAGGTATTTTGATAGTTGTGGACTCTGGTGGATCTTAAGCTAGAGGATGTCAGGTTGGGACTGTGACCGTTGGTGCGAAGTTGGTGTGGCTTTGGGAGAGAACACGGATATGTTTTCAGCTGTAGGAAAGAGCTGCATTCCGGATGGTGAGCATGTTGCTACAGCTATGTGTGTAGACAGAAGCTTCGGCCGGACGGTACAGTAGGAACCCAACCGTGGGAAGACTGGACTGGTCAGAAAACTTCTGCCTTCCACTCTGTCTACCTTTGATGGAAATTCATGTCCTGAAGACTCCGGAAAGGCAAAATTGTGTCCACGGGCCTTCTGTACAGTCAGGGCTAGATGCAGGTCGGATGTTCCCTCCACCAGATGCAAAGCAAGACCAACCCCACTTTTTCCTGTTTCCAGGCCTCGGGAGGCTATGACTCAGCCTCAGTAATCCTGGGAGTCCAGATGCAGCAGTGGCTGCTCTGAGCCCAGCACTTGGAGCTTGGCTGCCGCCCTCTCCCCCGGAAGTGTTCTCCAAATCAGCGATCGCAGCAGAGGCGGCCCGGTGCATCCTTGCAGACTGGGCTTTGGGTTCACGCTCCAGCTATCTAGGGTCCTGGAAGCCCTAGCACAGCGTCCTGCCTAAGGGACCTTGCGTAGTTTCTGTTTCCTACCCTGAGCTCCTACAGGAGCAGGCTGCACCTACTAAGTGCACCAAATAGGAGCTAGAAATGTAGGTAGCAATTGCCTGTTGGATTAATTGACCTGATGGGATATACCTCTAATTAGTAGCAGGGTAATCGAGAATACCCTACCGTTCCATCTAAGTTTTGTGTGTGTGCGGTACTGGGGACTGAACCCAGAACCTTCTTGCTGAGCTGCATTCCCAGCCCATGTGTATTTTTGTTTGTTTGAGACAGGGTCTTACTATGTAACTTAGGCTGGTCTCGAGCTTACTATGTAGCCCAAGCTAGGCTTGAACGCACAGCAATCCTCCTGACTCAGCCTCCAGGATTTTGGGATTATATCATGTGGCCCATGTTTAATTTTTTATTTTGAGACAGGATCTTGATAAGCTTTGTGTAAGGAAGTCCCAGACCTCCATCCTGCCTTCCTTCCACCAACAGTGTACACCTGCTTCACGGGAAAGCACAGAAGGTCCGAGGCTCGGCTGAGGAAGGCTGTCAGGCTGCTGGTGTCTCTGTGGCTGAGCAGCAGTGTCTGCTGGCACCTGGCGGCCTCGTTCTTAACTAGTGTTATCCTCCTCAGGGGTGCAGGACCCCTCCAGGAAGAGGGTGCTCTGGGCAGCTCCGGCCTGCCTTCCCCTCTCCCAGTGTGCACAGCAGAGGGGCTTCTTGCCTGTGGCATCCCTGGGCCCTGGGAGTCTTGGGGGTCCTCCTGTCAGAGCAGAGGTAGCAGCCACCGCCCTGCAGCTGTTCCAGTGCACTGAGGTAGTGCAGGCCCGAGGGTGTGGTGAGCACACCCCGAAGATCAGAGGCACGCGCTGGGAGAGCTCATCCACGAGGGAGCTAAAGGCCCACCGGTGGACAGCCAGGTGCACCCCAGCAAACTGGGGGTCCCCTTGCTTGAGGAAGGTCACCCTTCTTGGCTGGCGTGACCTGAGTGACAGAGGGAGTGTGAGCCACAGAAGGCAGGAGTCACCCACAGTGGCAGGGGGCCTGGACACTCCTCGGGTCGCCGTTCATGACACCAAGGCCCTGGGAGCTGCAAGGCCAATGGGAGAGCGAGGTCGGCGGCACCTCCCAGGTCACCTTCCCTGCCTCTCCCCTCCCTTCCTGCCCCCCAAATGGACCCCACTCAACCACGGAGAAGCAGCTCGGAAGAAAGGCCGAGTTTTGGCACTGGACAGGTGTGAGTCCACGCTCCAACGCCAGCTCCTCCTGGGGACAGGGCAGTGATGTCGTCTGCTGAACGGCCGCCATCGCTCTGCGCAGTGGTTCTAGTCATCCAGTGAGTGTGTGCACAGGGCCAGGCATAGAGCGACGACCGAAAGTCTCTGCTCCCTCCTTCCCTTGCTAGTTCTCTTACTGTCTTTGGCCAACCTTGAACTTTTCTAAATACTTCAGTGATTTCTCTATCAAAGAGGTGGGTAGAGAAAGCTGAGACCATAAAACACAGGGCAAGTGCAGGACAAGAAGGCAGAGACCTGGGTCCCCTGCCGAGGCCTCTAGTGTGGCCTGGGGGTCCCCCACTCCTGATTTCATCTTTCTCACTGCCATCTGAGTGGAGGCAGAAGCGCTGCCCCAAACCCTTCTGAGGAGACGTGGTCCCGGGTGTCTGTGCGCCAGAGGTGCCTGCCGGGGTGTCCTGTGTGCGTTCTTTCTTTCTCAGTGCTGTCTGCTCCAGGGATGCTGTCCCTCAGGTCCCAGGGTCTTGACAAAATTTGCATTGAGCCTTGGGAGTTCATACCCCAGCCCACCAGGCACACAGGCTGGCCTTGGGGGGCTCAGTTCACCCCCCCTTTCATTCCTGCTCCCCCTGCAGGGCGCCGGACCCCACTGCCTCCCACGGGAGCCCTGCAGAGCCATCCACGTACCTGTGCTGTCCCAGTCTCCACGCTCTGCTCTGCCCCTGCAGGACCCCGCCAGCCTCCATGTGGACACTTCCTGTGCTCTAAGGCCTTCACATGGCTCCAGGAGTCTGCAGAGGAAGCCCAGTCCTCCAGCCGCAGGGAAGGGCTCCTCCTGCCCGTGCCCATGCCTCCCAACCAGCATCACCTCCTCTCCCACTGCGTCTCTGTGGCTGTCCTGTGCAGCAGCCCATCTTGGCCCTGCTGGTGGAGCCATTCCTGCCCCCGAGCCCAGGCAGCCCCCATTTTCAGTGCAGCTCTGCCATCAGGCTGTGTCCTTCCTGGCCCCCAGCTGCCGAGGCTGGAGAAGCAGAACCTGTCCTCCCAGGGTGCCTAGCGCCATGCCTGGAACAGAGCAGGACTAGGGAAATGTGCAGGCTCCGAGTGCAGGCGTCTCACAGGGCCTCCCACCAGAGCCGGGCCTGTGTGAAGCTGGCACTGAGCAGCTCCAGCCAGGTGAGGAGCCCTCCTGGCTGCTGGGGGTCAGAGTCACACAGGAGCCCCTCTCACACACCACTGTCACCCACTAACTTCGCCAGCCACATCCCCTTCTCTCCTCTCCTCTGCGGTGGCCCCATTCACACAAGGGTAAGGAACGCTTCTCTTGTTGTCAAAATGTGGTGCACAGAAAGGTCTCATCATCCTCTCGTCTCCGCCCTGCTTCACAATTAGCTCGGAGCACCTCCTCCTCCCGACCAATCCCTGTAAACTGCTCTCATTGGGCCCCTAGCTAATGCCCGCTCTTCCCACTTGGTTCCCTTACATTTGTGAGTGTGGACTCCTTCCTGGGAGCACAGGGAGCCAGAGAGAGGAAGCGCCATGCCATCACCAGCACCACGGTGTCCCCAGTGTCACTGTGGACACACCAAACATGTGTCCCTCACACGGGTCGTGACTCAGAGTAAGATGGTAAATCCGGGACGACTTCTTGCAGGAGGTGGCATGCAGACTCCTGAGCTGAGGCTAAAGGACAACTCAAGGGTTGACCAGCTAGAGAAGGAAGAAGTCAGGACAGCCTGGCAAATGGAAATGGCGTGGTGCCACCTCTGCCTGGCTGGCAGAAGAGGTGAAGAAGGGGGGCTTCCGTATGCAGGGGCCTGTGCTCCTTTGTCTGCAGGTGGAGAGGGGCTGCGTTGGGGCTGGGACCATTGCCACCTGCATCCAGGTATTCAGACGGAAACAGACTTTTCACTCCCTTGAGCCAATGCCCCCTCCTGGATGTGACCTGGGTTGTTGCCTTCATCATGGGAAGGGGGCGTGGGTCAACCAAGGAGTCCCCGGCCTCCCCACCACGCAGAAGCTTGGGGGAGACCCCTGCCAGGTGCCCTCAGGCTGCCCCTTGGGCCAAGGGCACTGCGGCCCCCAGTGTCCCTCCTTCACTGGGAGCTGCGGGAGACTTGAGCCCTGCCTGAACAAGAGGGGCCCACATGCTGGGCTCCCCTTCCCTGCATCATGAAGGCAGCCGTGGTGCTCCCATTGAGAGCGGTGACCCTCGGCAAGGGCAGAGACGGGGGGACCCCCATAGTATTGGAGGGGTTCCCCTACCCCAGGGCCCACAGCCAGCCAGGGCCAAGTAGGCTGCGGGAAGGGCCTCGGTGGGGCCGGGAGGGATGAGAGAAGGCAGAGGGGCACAAGGGGCAGGTGGGGTTTGAGGAGAGGGGACACATTGGGGATCTCAGGAGGAAGTGGGAAAGAGCTGCCTTCCAGCTGTGGGCAGCAGGGGCAGCAGGCAGAGAAAAACAGATTAAGGGGTGAAAGGAGAAGAAATAGAAGTCACAGGAAATACTCAGAAAGGTGACAGCCAGGGTGGCTGGTGGCATCAGGCAGGCCCTGCCCGGGAGGAAACAGCTTGGTGGCAGCTGTCCTGGAAGTGGGCGGACTCAGGAAGAGTAAGCGGGGTGGGAGGGAAGTCTGCAGGCTAGGGATGGCGACACCAAGGGCAGGCCTGAGCGGCTCGGAGCATGGAGGGGAGGCTGCTCGTGCTGCAGCGAACAGCAGAAGGCACAGAGGCTTGAACAGGTCAGGTCCTGTCCCCAGGCGAGCAGGCAGGGGCTGTGGTCTCCAGAGAGAACAGGAGCTGTTGCCACCCGCAGGGAGCCAAGTCCTCCACAGGGTCCTCACTGCCACCAGCCTCAAGCAGCCTTTCCAACACCACACCCTGACCCCGACAGGCACCACTGTTCTATGAACCCATAAGAAAGGAAGAAAAGGTGGTGAGGAGCAAAGACAAAGGGGTACTGTTAACTGCAAAGTGCATCCCAATGTTGGAGAAAGGAAAATGCGTGTGAAATGCAAGTCAGTGAAATGCAGGCAGGCAGAGAGGCAGCTCCAGCTGTATACATGACCGTGACGAGGGTGTGAAATGCTGTGGCCACTAAGAGCAACAGCTTGGCAGGTCCAGCAGGAATTAACTGTGGCGCCACCCTAGGACCCGGAGGTCCACTTCTGGGCTCACCCAAGGTTGAGGCAGGGACAAAAGGCAGTGCACGTTTGCACACCAGTGTCACAGCAGTAACACACGCAGGAGCCAGAAGGTAGAGGCAACCCAGTGTCCACTGATGGCTGGACGGATTAGCAGGCTGGGATCTATCCAGACATTGGAATATCTCTCTGCTGTAAAAAAGGAAGGCCATTCCGGCATGTGTTACGTGGATGAACCTCGAGGACACCATGCTGAGTGAAATACCAGTCACAAAAGCAGATTCAGAGGCAGAAAGTAGGATGGGGGTTCTGGAGCTGGAGGGGATGGGAAATGAGGAGTTTGTGTTTGACGGGGCCAGAGTTCTGTCTGAAAAGATGAGAAGACGCTGCAGATGGATGGAGGTGCCTGACGACCGGCACTCGCTTACTGCCAGTGAACTGTACACTTAAAAATGGTTAAAATGGTAAACTTTATATTACGTTCATTTTACAACAAAAGAACCACAAAATATAATCATGCGCTGCCCTATAAGAAAGGGGACTGGGACAGGAGGGCTTCCTGCAGCCTATGCCAAGCTGATCCTGAAGGGCAGCGCACCTCAGGCTTGGAGAAAGGGGGTGGGGGCGGGACCAAGGTACGCCTGATTGACAGGCAGAAGCAACCTATCGGCAAACAGGATAGCCTGCTGGCTCCGCGGAACTCAGCGCTCAGGGGAGAAGACAGAACCGCCCTGTCCTCACCCCTTGGCACACAAGTGGCCAGCTGGATCTGGAGAGTTCTAGGCTCTGGGGCCCACCCTGGCCCTGCCAGCACCTAGCCCCTGGCCCGGACTCACTTGGGGATTTCTCTGCCCTCTGTTACTTCCTGTGACTGGAAGACAGACGCCATGCTGTGCACAGGTTGCCAGGGTCGTACCAGGCTCTTGTGAGAGAAGCTTCCGTGGACTGTGGTGCAATAAATGATCACCCTGAGGGCTGGGAGACCGTCCGAGAAACCGCCGCAGGCGTCAGTTCTTTGCATGTCGGGGGAATATCTCACCTCCTTCCACAATCACCGCGAAAACCGGAGTCAAGGACAAAGGACGACCCCTCTTCATTCCTTTCCACACAAGATGCTATTAGATCCTGGGTCCCGGGCCTGCAAGCGCACCACAGATGCCCCCAGGCTAAGACCTAGTCCCTGGCAAGGTCTTAACTCTTGTCCTGGGGTGGCCACGGCCCTGATGGTGAGACGTAGACAGGAGGGAAGAAACGGCACGGTGGACATAGACACTTACCCAGCGTGTAGCCACAGGACGTGTTTCTCCAGCAAAAGCTCCCAGTTTGTCTGATAATAAAGGAAGGATGCATGCTGATAAGTCAGGAAGAGACCCAGGGTGGGAAGAAACCTGCTAGTGACCCAAGAAATAGAATCCCTGCAAATGTCAAATAACGAAACCAAAACCAGGGTCAGAGGATCTTCCTGTCCCACTCCCTGGCTCTCTGATATTCTCCAGGCAAATTCCCTGCAGGGACTACTGGCTTCTGGAGTCACCCGGACTCACAGGGCTTAAATGCAAGAGGGTACCAAGCTGGGGTCCAGCTCCCTGAGGACAGGAAGCAGATCAGATTCTCTCTGTGTACTGTGCCCGGCACTTTGTCAGCGCTGCACAAATGCTTAGGAGTAAACGATGTCTGTGTAGAACAGAGAATGAA